GGCCCCAGGAGCCTCAGTCTAACTGATTTCCTCACCCACCCCACGAGCTCCTCAGAAAAATAAAGACCAAATTCACTTTACCAGCCTTTCTTCAGCACCTACGTCAAGCAGGCATATGTTGGGCTTTGGAGGTGAAAGGTGTGACCACAGAGCTCTGACCTCAAGGGATCCAGAAAGCAGAGCAAACAGCTGTGCTCTCCGGTCCCCTGGGATCTTGTTGAAAAGCAGATACTGGTGCCAAGGGGCTAGGGTGGGGCCTCTGCCTGTTTCACCCACCCTCCCACCACACTTTGAGAATTAGGCACTTTTCAGAGAACAGGTGTGTCCACATCCTGAACCTTTTGTGACTGAGGATCCTCACCCAAGGCTGGCAAGAGGCAGGACCACCATCGTCACTGAGTTACCCCAGAAGATGCTCATGGGCTGCCACCCTCTTGCAGGGCTGCTGCAGCAAGAAGGGGACCAGGACCTCGCACGGATCATTTGATTTCCAGTCGCCCCATTTTCCATGATGCTCTAGGATCTTCCTTCCAACTGGCACTTACCATTCACAGTCCTTCGTAAGGAAAAAACGGCATTTGCTTGTTGTACATATTTAGAAAATGTAACACAGAGAGGCGCCGTGAGAGAGATGAGCGAGGCCAGACTGCTCTGGATTTCAACCAAGACGAACCATCACATTCCTAGTTTTGTGCTTTGAAACAAAGGGAAACTCGGTTTTCTTGAAATGAAAGGATAATAATCCCACCTCTGCGGCCGGTTATGAGGACTGGAAATAATGTTGTGAATCACCAAAGAGCTGGGATGATTCTCAAGGTGCACCTTTATTAATCCATCTACTAAGCCAGTCATTACTGAAAACGCAGTACCTAGAGACCTGGGAAGATTGAGGCCGGGACTCCCAGCTGAAGGATGGGGTTTGGAGGGGCTGTGCCCCATTCCCAGCCATGGGGACTCAGATGGTTTCTGAGATCCAGGTAAATCATGGGAAAAGAGAGACAGACCCGGGATTACAGAAGTGAGAGCATCACGCATAGGCAGACCTTCACAAGGGAATCCAAGTCTCACATCTGGAGACATCGTTGCTCCCCAGGCGTCTGTGAGTCAAGGCTAGACTTTCCCCAGGTAGACTCCCTGCCACTGAATCAAAGCAAATGTGACTCAAAAGTACTCCAGTCTTAACAAAAAGATACTTCAATCTAGAAATTTCAAGTAGAGCCATTTATCAGAAAGCCTCAGCCTCCATAAGCACGCTGCAGCTTGTCTAAAACTATGAAACCCTCATGGCTTTTGATAACGGAGTCAGAACCCAATGTGGGGGTTCACAGGAGTGAAGCCGGGCCCCGCTGTTTCAATCACAGTGCATTTCTGAGCCAGATGCTCACATGGGGAGCAGGGGAGGAACGTGGCTTCACCCCACGAAGTTTTCATCTCTACCGGATTCATTTTCTCTTACTGGCATCTCTGATGAAAAGGGAGCACGTGGACCCACCAGCATGAGGGGGAAGCCACCTGAATCCCAGGTGGGGAGCCCGTGTGTGACCATGTCCATCTGGACAAGTACATGGAACCCTTAGCTCAACCATGTTTGTGCTGTGATTGAAATACATGCAGATTTAACTTCAGAGCAACTTGCAAACATCTTAGAGATACTGGAGTGAAAAGGAGAGGGTCTGGAAGACTGGGGACGAGCAAATATCCCCACCACTTTCTAAAAGAATGGGTTCTAAAAACTACAGAAGAGAGACTCACTCCGATTTCCGGGCAAGCCCAGAAGAGGTGTGAGACAAAGCTCACAAGCGTTTGGGAAGAAAGTGGTGGTCTCTAAAGAGGCAACACGAGTTCTCTAAGAGAAAGTCATTCCATGCTAACCTCATTTCCTGTTTTGACGAGCTTCACCAGAACAGTCGATTAGGGGAATGCCCCAGAAAGTGTGTCTTGCTTTCAGTAAAGCATCTGAAAACCTCTCATCGGATCCTATGCACATAAGACACAAAAGATGGGCCAGAGGATGGTGTGATCAGAAGAATTCACAGTTGGCAGGACAGACATCCCAAAGAGGTCCACTCACGGCATGGTGTCAACCCTGCTACCTTGAATCCCACTTCAGCTGCTGGAGATGGCCAGGCTGGCCGCCTGGGAGGTCTTAGTTGGACAGACTATTCAGTATTCTCTCCCCCGTGGCAAGTATGGTTTGAAATGGTTCTCTGCAGCTCCACACATAGAGAAGGTTAAAGATTGCAAGGGGACGGTGTCATTCTGTAGCTAGTTTTGCACCAGTTATAACCATTGGAGGGAGGAAAAAATGTTTCCATGAAGGGGCACAGGGCCCAGTCCTATCACCATTTAAAAAATAACTTGACAGAATGGGTAAACAGGAAGGTCCTACTGTACAGCACAGGGAACTATGTTCAATATTCTGGGATAAACCATAAAGAAAAAGAACATAAAAAAAGAATGCGTGTGTGTGTGTGTGTGTGTGTGTGTATATATATATATATCTGAATCACTTTGCTGCACAGCAGAGATTAACACAACATAGTAAATCAACTGTACTTCAATATAAAAATCAGTGAATTAAAAGATAACTTGGAGGGAGACACTGAAAGCATATTTATCAAATTTACAAATCACACAAACCTCTGAGAAAAAAATGGTTTCAAAGAATCAACTCACACGAGTTGGAAAGCTGGGATGAAACAAGACAGAACCCATGTGAAGTCCTACGTTTCCTTTCAAACCACAGCTCACTGTAGGAGCACAAAATCGGGGTACATTTGATCCTAGTCGTGCTACAACTACTTGAGTGTGGCCAGAAATGACAGAACAACGTTTCAGAGTCTTCACCTTTACTTGTAAATTCTTTCCATAATAATAAGCTCTTGGGAGTTTGTGACAAGCCCTAAAAATCCCTTCCCTACTTATGGGACAGCCTTGTTGTGAGGACAAAATAAGTCAAAGGTGGTAAAGCGCTTTGAAAAAGGGAAAGCTCTGAAATTCAAAATAGTATTATTATTTGGTGGAAGGTGCTTTCCCTCCAAAAAAAGAAAAAAAAAAATCTGACAGAGTCTGCAAGCGATAAGCAGAAAGTGATTCAGTGCTGGCTTCTGTCTCTCCAGCCCTAACCCCGTACTGGTAGAGCTCGCCGAGCTGCCGAGCTGAGCCCAGCTCAAAAGCCCGAACACCTCCAAGACTCCAAACCCCTCTTCTGGCGATCTGCTTTTCCAAAAGCTCTTTCTGGAGGGCCTGCTTCCCACTGCTTAAATAATCATTCAGAAAGTTCCCCTTCCAGGGCTGGGTCTTCAAAGATGCAACCGGATAAGTGGTCAGAGTGAACGCCAGACGACTTCAGTTGGGGGCTTAGACATTTGCAAATATTTTAAATTCCTTTCAATCCCACCACTCCTGCTGCTTGTACAAGCCCTGGTTCAAAAGGTAGGTGAAAACTACAATGCAGGCCCAAGACAGGAGAGCAGGCCTTAGTCAAGGTAACAGACAGGGACAATTACCTTAAACTTCTTTCAGGGTTAGTTCACTAGGCAGTTACAGGCGTCAAGAGTTGCCCTAGACTGAGCTGTCTGGTAGAACTTTCTGTGACAATATACATGTTCTGTTACCGGAGATGTCCAATATGGTGGCCATCAGTCCCAGGTGGCTGTTTACATCTAAATTAATTAAAATAAAAAGGAATTCAAAATGTAGTGCCTCAGTTACACCAGCCACATTTTAAGTTTTCAATAAATACTTGTGGCCAGTGGCTACCATAGTGGGCAATAAAACCCTAGACCAGCAGTTCTCAACCTTGGCTAAACGATGGACTTACCTGGGGAGGTTTAAAAAACACTGATGTCTGTGCCTGCCCCCCGCCCTCCCCTCAACCAGATTCTGGTGTGATTAGTCCTGGTGGATCCTGGGCATTTGGATTTTTTAAAACTCCTGGGTAATTTTAATGTCTGACCTGGGTTCAGAACCATTACTTCAAACATCTACCCACAGGGCACGTCCACAAACCCACGACTGGGCCTGGGTTCCCGGCACTCTTGGGGTCTTTGTCTCTGCTGCCCTGTGATACTTTTCTGCACTGTTTCCTCCTCTTCTAGAACCCAGAGAGATGGAACCAGCAGAGGTGGAAGAAAAGAATCTCAGAGCAGGGTGGGATCTTGGGAATCATTTCACCTGGTCTTCCTAGAGTTCTGCGAAGGAAATTAGCGTCCAGAGAAGTCTGGTGACTCATCCGAGGCAAGGATGAGAGCCCTGTCCTCCAGACACCCCTCGGGGGACACATGCCTCTACTACATGGTCACCTGTCATCTCCCGGAACGTAAGCAAACACAATGTAACTGAAGGATGTTTATTAGCAGTGCAAAGCTTGGTTTCAGATGAGAATCTGAATATTCAGAGGGCAGATAGCTCACGATCAAACTTTCCTGCTGGGCGGTGACCTGGCAGAAAGCCTGGGTCCTCTCCGAGGCTACTCTGTTTACCTCCTTAGCTCATCAGAGTAAAGGGACTGGCAACGTCCTCATCCACCCAGCTGTGGTTAGGATACCGGGCTGCTCAGCTTCACATCGTTGCTCTGAGAAGCAGTAAGATAATGGATCCGGTCAACACATCATCACTGAGCGGAGTGTCAGGTGCTGGGGACAGACTGAGGGATAAGACAGACTAGAACCTGCCTTTATAGAGCTGAAATCTGAGGGGCAGGTGAAGGGTGACAGCTAATTAATAAGTGAAAAAACAGGATAACTGTGGGGGGGGGCGGAACAGGTGGTCAGAGAGACCCCTCAGAGTTGGGGACCTTTGGGCTGTGACCCAGATATACGTCTGAGTAATAAGCGATTCAAGTTCAACACGCTTCTTCTAGACGCTGTCATAAGGATCTGTGTGGTTATGGCAGCGTTGCTCTGTGGTCCTAGAGAAACGAATCTCAAATGTTATCTGGTAACCTTTCTATCAATATTTAAACGTAACTAATAAGCAAACAATCCATTTTTCTTTAGTTATGCTTTTAATGAAGGAAAAGGGATGAAGACACACAGAGACTGGCCAGACTAGACCCTAACCACAATATCGCAGAGACATCATCACGGAATGTGGAGGCCCTTAGAGTCCATGGCAGATGGAGTCAGGTCGCAGGGCCAGCCCTTCCCCTGCACTCGGCCGTGGGCAGCAGGTAGAGGTGCTGCAGGGGGCTGAGTCCTGGTTTTTTGGTGCTTGTGTCATTTTCGAGCAAGTGTGTCATAAAGCTTCCTGTTTAATCTCCCAGTTATTCTGAAACAAAAACATGCACGAAAAACACAGGTCACTGCCAACCGCATTGAGACACAGTCACTCCAGTACATGGAAACCGAAAAGGGAAAGACAGATCTTAAATGCCACAGTAAGATGGGGAATCAAATTTATCAGCATCTATTCAAACAGTGATAATCAACAAAGATTGCGGTGGGGATAGGGGGGCGGGGCATCGGTTTAAAAATAATTCGCAAGAGACTGTGAAGGCAGATGTTCCCAGAAGCCCACTGCCTGTTTACTGAAAAGTTGAAGTCAGTTCTACCCCTCTGGGTCTAGGTCTAAGCCTGGGGCACACCGAGGCCCTTCCCCTAGGTGCTCCTGTTGGTCTAGCTGAAGTCACATAGGACTCTCAGGACAACTCTGGTGTTTGCCCAGGTGATGTCCTGAACACCTCTCCCCAGGGGTCCAAAGAGACTTAAAAGAGGTCACCGTGGAACTGCAGTCCAATGAGGATGGAGGAGGGGGATGGTGGCTGAACCTCTGGTCCCCTCTCCCCTTCCCATCCAAGAGAGCTGGGCTCCCAAGGACATGACAGCATCGTGATCAGACAAGCTTGTACCGAGCAGCCTCAGCGAGGCGGAGGGAAGGAGAGATGGTAAGAGGGGGGACCCTGACCAAGCAAAGACCCTGAGGACAGCACAGGGTTGAGAACAGCTGCCAAACCTATGATTCTATTAAAAACTGCCTTTGCCACTTGAGACCAGCTCCCAAGCAGCACATCGTTTGCGGAATCTCATTCTTAGTTCTCCCAAGCAAGTGAAGGGATACTTCGAGAGACTGACAGAAGGATTGCTTGATTCATAAATACGAATGGTGCCACCTCCCCCAAAGACCGGCTTTGTGCTTAAATCTGCCGCTCAGATGCGTGGAGTAGGAAGAGAGGGGTGGAGACAGCATTGCCATGGGAGCAAGGTCAAATCCACGCCTGCCTGCTATTCCCAGCCATATTCTCTGACCAGCCACTACTGATGGTCAAAGAAGAAATGGGCTCTGCCCATGACTGCTCAGAGCTTCCCTGAGGACCCTGCAATCCCCTCCACATGCAATCTGCCCCAGATGCAACCCTGAGTTCACGGGGAAAGCCAGCTGCCCTGGCCCCTCTCCATTTCCTGACTTTTGTTAATGGCACAAAATTATTTGCAAAAAGGTTGGGGTGGGAGGGGCTGCATGATTCTGGAAAAGCTCCATCCTTCCGGGAGACATTCACTCACAATGCACAGTAACATACAGAAGACCCCGAGAAGTTAGGAAATAAAGAAAGCCGTTTACATTAGTTTCTTGTGTGCTTCCCATACATATGTGGAGTGGAAACCCTCTTGCCCAGGAACCTCTGCCCGCAGAGTTCCACAGGGCAGCAGACAGCAAAGCTTCTCTTTGATTGAGTCCTTGCCGTCCTGACGTTCACACGACAGTTGTGACAGTCTGCATTTATTTCTTGAAACTCTGTATTGTTTTCCCTCAATGTCTTCCCCAAATGCCCTCCACGTATGAGTTAGCTGAAGCACACAGACTCCCGCAGCCTGTATTATTTTTTTTCTCAGAAGCCTCCTATCCTAGTGGCAGTGAAATACTGGCCTTTCTGAGAGAGGATGAGCCTGGCTGTGTGGTCGCTAGCATTCTGGGGAGAACACTGCTCAAATGAGCCTGCTGGGAAAACCAGTTTCCTGACGTGTGTTCTATGAGCTAGCATTTTCTAATGTGACAGTATCCGAATCTGGGCCCAAGATTTTATACGCAGTGCCTTCCTGGGTGGGCAAAGAGAAACAGGAACTAAGAAATGCATCAGTGGCTGACATGGGTGGAAGGGGCGACCTTGTTCCTTTAGTTTGAAATAGAGAGACAGCTTAGGAACCTACGCTCCTCTCCAGTTACCCTACTTCTGAGTGGGGAGGAAAAAACCAAAGTGCAAGAGCCCGGGCAGGATTCGGTATGGACCCAACCACGTGGGCTTGGACCAGGATCACAGAGTGAGAGGCGGCAGGGCCGGAAGGGTCATCTGGTCAACCTGCATTTTACAAGCATACAGAGCAAGGAAGTCAGCAATCTTCCTAAGGTCACACTGGAAAAGACATTGCTGGGACCGAGGCCTGAGTCTCTCCTACCTTCGTCCCTAGATTCTGAATTGCAGCTTTCCACTGTAAGACCTGAGCTAGTTTGTGTGCAAGCTTTTGCACACATAAGTCAAATCCTGAGTGACTTCACGTTGACCTGGCTGTCTGGTTAACACTGAAGAAACCCAAGATGGAACATTCAGGAACTCTAAAAGATCTGCCCCCAATTCAGGGCTGATCGCACATCTGGCTTCCCTTATGCCAGCAGACACTGGGAGGGAGTGGAGACCACCAGCGCCTCCCCTGGGTTAGGACATTCCTAGAGAATCTTCTGGTCACACGTTACTTCCTTATTCTTACTCCCAGCTTGGCTGAGCTGTGCTGTTTCTGCAGGTCTGTAGCATTCAGGGGGCCCCCAGTAGGTCTCTCCACTGTGGGTACCCAGCTCCGCTTTCCCTCAGATCTGAGGGATGGCCTCAGGGTCACGTACATCACACCGTGAATATGAGTCCTCATCAGGGGCCTGAGATGCAGCCCAGGCAATCTCCTGGATGCTCCCAGAGTCAGCTCCCAGATCACACCCTTTTGGTTCCTAATGGCAGAGGAAAGGCTTCTAGCCTGGGAAACTGAGAAGGGGAGAGAGACAGCAGCTCAGATGCCCATCCCTGGACTGGATGGGCCACCTGTCAGGGCATTTGCCCTTGATTCCATCCAAACTTCTATTTCCCAGGCAGTATGTACCAGGGCAGGGGTGTGGGAAGCAAGGAGCACAAATGTCAGTTTGCTGTAACATCCATGACACTGCCAGTACCTCAGTGCCGAAAAGCCAGACCAGAGCCCCCAGCCACCCATGTGCAAAACACACACTCGAGCCCGCTGTGCATCAAGGGTTCCGTCAACGCTTGGGAAAACAACCGGCCAGGCGCTCACATCCTGTTCGTGTTGACTCACGTTGGATTCGGACAGGCTTGGAAGCCAAATTTTTTGAGTTTTTGAAACAGTTGCCAGGAGGGTGGGACCCGGTAGACAGTACCAAGGTGTTCGCTCTCAGGAGTCCTCGGCTTTTATGTCTCAGAAAGTTAAAATCTAGAGGACATGCTCAGAAAATGTCATCGCTTTTTACAGACTAATTTTAGGGATGAGTGATATGGATCCCGTATGTAAAAGATTAAGTTTTTGTGCTACTAGAGACATCAGGGCAGGGGAGAGAGGAGCCACCCTTGAGGGCCCCCTTCCTTTGCTTCTGGGGGGAGGGCATTTGTAGAATGAAAGCCACATAACTCTGAGCAGACTTAGAACCTCTCCTGAGGGGACCTCCCCGAGAAGCAGTTTTTACGAAGTGTGCCACGCATCATTACAGACTTACCCGTGGTTCAGAAAGTTTCAGCCTTCAACTAATCCATCAGCAGAGTGCGAGCCTTCCCCAGGGCTTCCCCGAACACAGCCGGGTCCTCTTGGCCGCCGGGTCCTCTTGGCTATCGTTTGTTGAGCTCATCCCATCCGCTAGATACTGCTCCAGATGTGTGCTCTCCTTTAAGCATCCGCCCTCTCAGGTTGCTGCTTTAGGAGAATCTCTCTCACCTGGGGGGCAGGGGATGTTCAACCACCAGCCAGTACATGGTGGCACCCAGCCTCCAGTCCAGCATCCTGACCTTCACACTCTGACACCTTCTGGGATGAACAGGATCTCACAGGTGATTCAAATACCCTGAGCCCCTGAGGATCTCGGAAGTTTGCCCACCTTTTGGTACCGAGAGGGACCCACAAAATACCTCTCTCTGTTAATACTAAAGGTTTCCACTAATGGAGATAAGAGTGGGCAACCCAAGGGCTGGGCCTCCCTGGATTCTTTCCTGATCTAGTCAGTACCGTCCCCCTCACCTTGGTCACTTTCTCTATCCATAAAAGAAAACCTACTTTTCAAAGAACTAAACCTCAAAAACATTTTAGCAGATCTATAGTCTGGTTGACATTGTAAAAGGTCAAAATTACAGGTAACCTTGCTATACCATTACTAAGAGATGCAAAGGGCTTTCTGAAAGGCTGGTTTTACCTCTAAGGTTGGTCTAGAACACACGAAGAGCAGCTCAGGATTAGAGGGGAAATGGAGACAATCTACAGGCTTCTAGGTTTCCCAGTCACCCATGGCCCATGGCCCTAACCAGTGGTCCTCAGTGTGGATCTCTGGATCTGCAGCATCACCTGAGAATTTTCAGAAATGCAAATTTTTAAGGTGTGCCCCAGATCTTCTGAATTGGAAACTCTGGTGATGAGACCCAGGGATGTCTGTTTTCACAAGCCCTCAAGTGATTCTGACGCACGCACAAGCATCACCAGTAGCGAGTGATACCTGGGCCGCGGGCTAAGTCCCTGTGGCCGTGGTGACTGCCGGTTGGCCATCTACTGATGTTCTCAGTTTGGTCAACTGTACCCAAGCTCCTCACTGGATGGCTCTGTCCCAGGATCCCCAGAGTGGGAGGACGAAGCCAGTGGCCCAGAAACCATCTGAGACTTTCAACATGTTCTCGGGGTGACCTCGGGAGAAATGTTGGTATGATTCATCCCTCAATCCCCTTTTCCAGTTGCTGCTCATCTGTATAGTGTGGGGCAGGCACCATGGGATACTACACCTGCACCCGGGACTTCCCCTCCGCATCACATTTCTTTCCTGGCCAAGCCCCACCCTCCCACACTGTAGCCTTCCTCTCCCCTGCTCTCTTTGCCTGAGGAGAAATCTCGAGCCAGCTGTCTACTGGCATTTCTCTCAAATAGGAGACTAGAAAATGTCTCCACCAGCTTGACCCTCCTGACTGCCACCCTGGGAGGAGAGGGGAGCAGAGCCCACTCTGCTTTGGGGCCCTGCTCACATCGATACCTGATGATGTTCAGGTGGGCAGCGCCAGCCGAAGGCTCACAGCCGGACAGGTAGGAGGCAACACATGACCAGGTCAGAAAAAAAAAAGGTTTAAAAAAAAGAGTTTGTTTATCATTTTAAAAAAACGAACCTCATACAGGAAGTATGAGAAGAAGAAGAAGAAAAACACAAACCCAGGCTATGACACTGAAAGTGGCACTGGATACAGACAAGACGAGGGCTCCTCAGTTTCCATTCCCACTTTGCAGGGGCTGTGGGAACAGGTAGGGTAGGGCACCAGGGGAGGGTGGGGACTTACAAATCATGGGGACGCAACAAAGAAGGGGACCGTGAGTCACAAGGCACAGCCTTATCAGACACAGGGCAGTGTGCGTGGGGTAGCACGATGTCTCATCCAGGGCCCTCCCTGCAGGTGTGACTGTCCCAGCCAGACTTGGGGAAGAAGACACCTAAAATGGAAACTGCCCTCCGAGAGCATCCCACGCGCCGGCCTCTCCCACCCCACGTTCCACCCCTTGTGTGTTTCAGGTCAAGACACAGGAGTTACCAGATCATGATCACCTCCCCCCATGCCCTTTCCTAGCAGCAGTCAGCTAGGGAGACCCCACCATCCCAGGCCTTCCATCCAAGCTGGTGGCTGTACAGACCTTCAGGACCACAAGCCCAAACTGGCCCGACTTGCTTTGGTCTGATGGGCACTGACACGAGACCACCCAAGGCAGATAGGAGTCAAGTCAGATGCCTAACCCAGAGCCATCTGCCCTCGCTGAAATGTGACTCAAATGGATTTTTTTAAAATGGGGGCATGGGATTCACAATGTCCACCCAAGAATTCAAATGAGGGAAAACAATGAGACTAAAGAACATTTCCTCTTTCACAGCGCAAAACAGTAGGAGGATAGGAAATAGGAATCTTCCCTTCCCACCATAAAAAATAAATACAAATGTTCTAAAATGGGCCCACACTGAAAAGATACCAACGAAAGGACTCCAAGTCATGACTATCGCTGTCAAAGAAAGCCATTTAAAAAAGAAAGACAGAAAGAAAAAGAAAAAACTCTGCACACCAAAAAATCTCAAAATAGAACCAAAACCTGCAAATCATACTCAGGCATCTATTATGAACCTATGTTTTAGCATGCTGTTGAAAAGGTTAATAATTTTCCTACCGAAACTGAATGTGGGTTGTGAAAGAACATTAAAATGAAGAAAATTTCCCCGTGGCTGCTAGTTTATTATCACCAAAGCCATCAAGTTTCAGTTTGAGTTATTTGTATTTATTTGTGAAAACAAAGATTAGATAAGTAGAAACATAAACCTCATCCTAATTAATGCCCTGGAGTATCTGATTTTTAGAACAAAAAGAAAAGAACAACAAAAAAAAAGACCATCAGACACACACTCAAGGCATGAGAATTCAGAACAACAGAGAGGAGAGAGAGGATGCTGTTATCTCGTCCTATCACTTGAAAAAATGTATTGTCTCAGGTAAAACATTAATATTTGTTTACAGTCTGTGACGACCACATGAGAGGCAATGTGTACTTTCAGTTGTTAAAACTTTTGTCAACTGTAGGCTCAGGTAGGGAATTTTTTTTTAAACTGCAAACTATCATTTTTGTTTTACACTTGCAAAAATGCAGTCACAGCCATATATTTCCACGTTGAGTCTTGAAAAAAGGGAATTTACAGTGCTGCTTGAAAAGATCCAATTATGAGCTTCGAGACATTTACAAGCAGGTGGAGCCCGGATGAAACGTGGGGTTTAGGTGCAAAGCTGGATTTTAACTCAAATGTGTCTCAGATGCCAGGGGAGCAGCTTATTTTCTGAAGTTTTAAAAGAAATCCACTAGCTGAAATGGTTCATCAGAATGAGGGGTAAGCAAAAACCTCTCTCCACGTTCTGCCCGCACAACATAAACATCAGAATGAAAAAAATAACATGCAAAAAGCCCTGCAGTGGTCTCACATCAGCGAACAAACTGTTTTTCTACCTATTTTGTGTTGCTGGCTTTTGTTATCTGCCCAATCGGCAAACTGTGGCCAATTTTATCATGGTTGAAGCAGACATTTTGTTCCCAAACTGCTTTCAACATTTTAGCTAGTAAATAGTTTATGAGTAATTGAAGAAGCCACAATACACAAAGAAAAGGCACCTAATCTTGCTACATTAACCCCTTTTTCAGGTTACAATGACACACACACGTAAAAGATTAAAAACAAGAATTCTAGCAAATTCAAATTCTGAAATAACCTAAGTAGAGTTTCCTGGAAACAAGAATAATTAATGATTAACCTACAGATTGGATTTTGAAACTAACTACATGACATTCCCTGATTCTGACCACATGACACCACGAAAGGTGCTTTTAATGATACAACATGTAATTTTTATTTTTCATCCACACACATCAAATGTTGTGTGAAAGTGAAGAGCAAATTTCTAAAGGAGTCAGTTGAATTATGCTAAAGGAAAAGAATCGGTTAAGCAGTTATTTACTACTGAAAATAAATGACACCCACGTAGTTCATCTTATATATTAATATTGAAACCAAATAGCAGTCTTCTACCACAAATCATTTCATTAAAAAAAATAATGAAACTAGTTAAAATGAAAACACAGGGTTTTATTTGATGAAACACTAAATATTCAGATCAAAAATGATAGAAAGCTGCCATGGCTTTTCAAAATTTGTTTGTGCTGAATGCCAACAACAAATTGAAGATAAAAAAAGGATGAAAGAATCCTCGCTAAAAATCCAAGAATTAACTAATTGGAAGAAAAGCAGAATTTCAGACAGAAGACTTAAGAAAACTCTTCTCTGTTTGCAATCCTATTTCATATTTGAAGGTACAGCATTATGTACATTTTTAGCCTTTTAAAATACCAGCATGCCCACACACTATCTCAGATTAAACCAAGGAGAAAATGACACATTCTGAAACCATTTTCTAAAGCTCCTTTTCCTGATAACACTCAGGCACTCACAATCAATTTAATGAGTTTCTAAAAAGCCCAAACAACTCTCCATAAAGAGACAGAATTGTTCACAACAGCCTGCAGACATTTCTAGATTTTACAGGCAATACTAAGAGCATTAGTCCTTGCTATTTACACTCAGAAGAACTAAGCTGTTTTCGACATCTATATCAGAAAGAAATACTACTCAGTGCTTTGGCTAATTAAATACAGGAACAATTTGAAAAACCCCAATAGATCCAGCCCAGCAGTCCCCTGATTTCAAACAATTTAAAAATTAGTTAATTCTTTCCCCTCCATGTTCTTTGCACAAACATATATTCTCCTAATCTATTCCTACTTGAAAATTCTTAAGGTAATAAAGAAAGTAAACACCCACAGAGGGTACGAAGTCATTTCTTCTGAAAGTGGATTTCTTCCTAAAACATAGGGCAGCAAAGTAAACACTGAAAAGCACTACAAACAAATAACACAGCTCAGGATGAACACTGAGAACATGTACTGATGGACAGAAAACTCTGGAGGAATTTTCAATCCTTCAGAAGGAGGGACACACTTGTGGTGAATTTACAGCACTCTCTGGGACAGGATGGCAAGGCTTTTCGTAAACTTGAACTGAAGACAATATCAATGTAATCACATCTTCTGGTCAAGAGAATGTGTTAGGTTGCTCAACATCAGACATGTTTTAACATGTGGTTCAGAATTTACACACTTCTTGTTTTTATGATCCAGCTCTTTCAATATTATGGGACTGATCTGACACTTTAGAGCAGGCAGCCTGACTTGTGTAAGACAACAGCGTTTAAGAGCAAACCAAAAAACCTTGAATGAACCCTACAATGAAAGATGACAGGGAATAAAAAGTCTCTGGGAATCGCCTGAATTTGTTACTTGAAGACATTTTCTGTATGAGTATCTTACCCTAGAATATCTGTCCTCACCCTTAACCAGCATAATCGAATATTCACATTCAGAAAACCCCTGACCTTAGCTAATGCTTGCCTCTTAAACCACATATATCCCCTTCCCCTGACGTAAGACTTGGAAATGATTGTGATTTTAGTCATCTGGAAAGAGTGAAACATGACATGGTCCTCAAACACTTTCTTCAGAACCGTCGTCATTTTAATTCTGTTTTACCACAAGTAAAAAGGCCGTGCTCACGGGACAAATTCAAGTTCCCTCTCCATTGTACCTATTACCTGGTAATTTCTTACGATCAGGGTAGCACAGGACAAAGGCTTTCAGTGAAGAAAGATTCAAAGCATTTTTTTAAAATTCCCAATTTTTTGGCAAGTAGAAAAATCCAAAGGTAAACTCTTCCATATTATAAATTAATATTCTCAGTACAACTACTTCACCTGCAACCAGCTAACTTATTCTTCCTTTTTTTTTTTCACAAAATGCATGTGTTAACACCCAGGTTTTAAAATACCATTGTTACATTTAGAGCCATTCCTAAGTGTAAGTAAGGGTTTTCTCCCCCATTTATTAGATACACATTCTTACTGAGAGCCAATCCATTGTGTATGAAACGACGCTATTTTGTTAGAGCAAATCTGGCTTTAAGGGTTAGGACAGGTTACACTGTAAAATTAAAATTAGAAAACCAAGCTTTTTTTTTTTTTTTTTTTTCCTTAAAGCAAGTAATAATTTTCCAGAATCTAGAAATAACTGCAACTGGCAAAAAGAAAATAAAAAAGCCAGACAGACAAGAGTGAAAGAAGAGCTCAGAAACTCAGCATCCTTGCCCTGGAAACAAAGGTCTCTCACATTCCATTTTCTATTTTCCGCAAAGAAAAAACAGATAGCTCTCTAGTCCCCAAATGAAATATGTAACAAGTATAAGAAATGTGCAAGATCACAAACACTAATATATCTAAGTGAACATAGGAATTGCATTTTTTCTTGTTAGTATGAATTCAACCTACTGTGTTGGTAAGTTGACAGAGACCAGACCCTGTAACTGCAGCATCAGAAATAGGACGATTTGTGTTGGAAACTCAAGTTTGAGCTAAATGATCCTCCTCTGACAGGGTCTGTTAGCACAA